AGCTTTGTGAGCGGACACCGCCGCTTCCGGAGCCTTGTGAGCGGACACCGCCGCTTCCGGAGCCTTGTGAGTGGGCACTGCCGCCTCGGGGAAACTGAGAGCGGCCACCGCCACTTCCGGAGCTTGGGGAGCGGGCGCCGCCGCCTCGGGGAAACTGCGAGCGGGCACCGCCGCCTCGGGGAAACTGAAAGCGGGCACCGCCGCTTCTGGAGCCTTGTGAGCGGGCACAGCCGCTTCAAGTACCTCATGAGCGGGCACCGCCGCTTCGGGGGAACTACGAGCAGACACCGCTGCCTCGGGAACTGTGAGTGTGTGCACAGGTGTGTGGAGTCAAGGTGACGGAAAAGGAGTGCGGGAGGATGGGAGATGGCGACCTCTGGTGGTGAGAGGGAGAACACCAGACGCCAGACCCTGACAGTATAGTACTGTATTTCCAGGAAATGCAAATAAAGTTGTTTAGAAGTCAGAGGTGGAAGTATTTAACACATTATTCATACATATTTAACAGGTTTTTGGGGATACATACCGATGGTGACCTCTCTCCTTTTTGAAGAAGGCACAACCTGCATTTCCTTAAGAGGCTTAACGCTGAATACCAGCATCCTCAGAGGGATTGTGGATGACATCACCATTAGATTTGGAAGCTGCTCCACCTCTGACAGGAAAACACTGTGTCAAATACTCTTACAAAAGTGGACAAAACAGACTAACACTATACTCTAGACATGGAGGATCTACTCATTATTTAGGTAACAAAGGCACTGTATCCACACATTAGGCAACACTATTGTTGCTGTTTTTTAGAAATGCATGAGAAATGCAAAAGTGAGCTTGACTGCACACCATCAACTGGATACGGTATATAGGGTTCTAACATTCTTCTCCATCATTTTAACATCATTTGATGAAACTGCTTTGAGAAAATGTACAAAAACATATCTTTTAAATAAAACACTGGTCACACCCTATTTTGTGTTCTTGTTATAGTGTAACACTGTAACACAGTGCAAATACACTGTAAATAATGTTAATTAACAACGTACTTAGGTTTAGTTTCTTGCAAATATGCATAATTTACTGTTATTACTATAGGGGAATTATCAACCCAGTCTCATAAAAATACGTACCTCTGGGTACTTTTCTGCAACACCGTTTTTACGTACCTTACTGCACGTTTCGCTGCAGTTTCAAAGAGAAATGTCAACTGAGTGGCGCTAAAACACGGGTTCAATACGTGAACCCTGGCACGTTTTTATTACGTTGATATAGGTACGTATTGCTGTGTTTTTATTACGTTGCTTCAGGTATGTATTGCGGCGGTTCAGAATTCAACCAGGTTGGGAATTATGGTTAAACCCCACAGAGAGACCAATACACACAAGACCAGGAGTCAAATTTGAAGTTCATTCAGTTGACAGAGAGTTTACTGAAGACAGAGTTCTCCACACTTCCAAAGGCCGTAGAAAATGAGTAAAAGGAGCCAGCCTCGAACTAACGTAGAATACAGAAACACGAGTACTTATAGTCATATATGAATGATCTGTTGATGTCATTTCTACAGGTTCTGAAAGGTAAAGAGTAGAGATAATTCTAGTGTTCTTTTCTTAAAGGCAGTATCTTGGAGACACTATAAGTTCCATCCGTAAGCAACTATTGTAAGGGTCATAGGTGAGTCAGAAATCTTGTGAGGGCACTTCTCATCTGGGCAGCTGTTGATTCTCCTGGAGACTGTTCCTTGTTATATTCCTAAACAGCCCCTGCAAATACATAGGCAATATCTCTTCCCTTCAAGGTTGAGCTGCAGCACATCACTGGAACAGAACAATGCATTGACACAGACCACAGACCAATGATAAAAACATATGATGCACTGTCATAGTTTAACATATAGAAACTAATGGTGCTATAAACCCTAAAAAGAATTCTAAATGTTAAGCATACATAAGGGTTAGTGGATACATGTGGTGCGTTGGTCTTTACATGATTATACGGCTATCATGAGAACCACAGAGTAAAATGAATAAGAACAAATTTCAATCTACAACTCTCCTCCTATAAAATATAACATTTGATTGCATAATGATTCAGCTGAATTATTACAAATCAAAAAAATATTTATTATCCGGAAGCCAAGCTGAATGAGTAAACACTGTTACTGGATACCTGCAACATTTGTGACAGGGACACATTACAATAAAGTGTTAACAGAATTCTCCCTACTGCAGATGGTAATAGTGCACCAGTTAAAAAGTGTAGAGTTGTATATAAGTTAAGTTATAAAGCGCTATACAAATAAAGGTGACTTGACTTAACTTATTCTGTTATGAGGCTAACTTACAGAAGCCTAAATTATAGAAGTCGTGTTTACGCTGACAAGTGTTACTTAATTTAAGGCACAACACTATTGTAATACATTTGGAACCTAGATAACCTTGTTAGTGGATAAGGATTTTGTTTTGAAATGCCATCTGCAAAATGGTGCAATTGGTTTAATGGATTTCTGTTTTAATTTTAATATAACTTGTTTTGTGCATAATATATCAACACACACTCTTTCAGCTCTGAGTCAGAATTTAAGAAAGCTCAGTCTCTTTTTATTTCCTCTTCAGGCGAGCAGACCTAGAGCCCAGAGAGGAAATAAAAGAGTAGGGAATTTCAGGTTGGGTTCCGGCTTAAGTTTTTGGTCAGGTCACAGGGTCTGGTTTGGACTTCAGCGTAATGCTTGTGGAGACCTCCACCCTGTTGTACTCACACCTGTCTTAATGGAGTGCTTTGTGCTGCTGATCTTGACCTACATCAAATCCTAGACTTCCTCACTACTAGACTTCAGGCAGTCACAATCCATGAACAAATCTCACCAATTGTCAGGATCTGTGAGCAGTGGTGTTACAAAAGTGTCCCTCGCGGGTCAAAGTGATCAGAAGGCTAAAAATTACCCAAATTTTTTTTTTGGTACAGAAATCTTATATTGATCCATTTTTATATTTTTTTTTCTAAATATGTATGTAGGTTTTTCTGTTATTTTTGGTGATTTTTATTATATTTACCTTTTATTCTGGATATTTTAAAGAAAACATAAGCAATTACTAATGCATTATTAAAATCAAAAGTTGTGTTTGTTAACATTAGTTAATGTACTGTGAACTAACAATGAACAACTGTATTTTCATTAACTAACATGAACAAATATTAATAAATACTGTAATAAATGTATTGCTCATTGTTTATTCATGTTAGTTAATACATTAACTAACATTAACTAATGGAGCCTTATTGTAAAGTGTTACTGAGATTTTTAGCTGAGCAAAACAAGTGAAACATGAGAAATTAGATAATCTTGAGGCTTCAGTTTGGTTGTTTATGGGTTCAAATATATATCGAAACATTAAAAAATCCATATTTTGTAAGAAAAAAACAAAATAATTCTAACTGAATTATAACCTAAACATATGTATATTCATACAATGCCATAAATATGAAATAAATACATAATATATTTTTAAAAATATAAATGATATAAACTCATTGGTCTCCACCACATCACTCAAATTTAACTGTTAAGTAAAAAAAATGGAAAAATGACAGTCATATCCCAGCAGAAACATGAAACATATTATAATGTGTTCTATGGGAGTGTGTGTACCATGTGTGTGTTTATGCATGTGTGTGTGTGTGTGTGTGTGTGTGTGTGTGTGAGAGAGAGTTTTTTCTGCATTGGAGATATTCTGTAGTCTCAGCCCTTTGGGTATAAATCTTTACTGGATTGTCTCAGATTTTGTATATCAAAAAAAAATGAAATATAAATTTACGTTTTCTCGTAAATTCCATTCATTCCTATGTGGGTCAAAATGACCCGCGTGGGACACTTTTGTTACTATTTTTATTGCACCCATTTAAACTCCTCGAATCCACTTTTTTTGTGTGTGTGTATTCCCGGTGCAAGTGTGACAAAAGTAAAGAAATTTTGGACCGGTACGATCGACACACGATTTTTATAATTTTTTCATTTCATTTTCGGGACAAAATAACCCGAGGCATGGATGAAGGTTAATTGTAAATTTCAGTTCACTTACAATGCTAATATTTCAAAATGTAACTGATAATGATGACATCAATGTGATTTTTTCATACTGATTTATGATTATATTTTTATGAATTTAAAGAATGTTAGGATTTATGATATTATTTCATACATATATTTAAAAAGAGGACTGTAATTGGTGTTGTTTTATTCATATGTATTTAACAATTTACACTACATAATGACTGTCTCGTATTTAATTTGTGCAGCCGAATTAAACCAAGACTCTTATTGAATATGTAAAAGTTTACCACTACTTATTTTTTGTTTGTTTGTTTTTTTTTTCTTCTTGCAAGCACTGGTATTTCCTTCAGTAAATGTAAATATGGTTGTTTAAAAGTCAGAGGTGGAAATATTCAAGACATTCTTCATACATATTCAACAGGGAATTCATATCATTGCTGACCTCTCTTACAAATTGAATATCTCTTTTTTGAAGAAGGCACAAGCTGCATTATCTCAAAAAGTTTCAATCGGTGTGAATACAGACATCCACAGAGGGATTGTGAATGGCATCACCGTTGCTGCTCCACCTCTAACAGGAAGGACCTAAAACTAGTAGTTAAGACTGCACAGCATATAGTATTGGGTCCAGTAATGACTGATAGTCTCCAACTTTAGCCTATCTCCCCCTTCTCTTTCTCCGCCAAGGTCGGTCCCAAGCCCGGCTGAAAAAGGAGGAGGGTTGGGCATAGGGTTAGCAACACCACATCAGAAAAAAACGTATGCTACAGAAACATCGACGACAAACCAAACACCCCTTCTCTTTCTATGAAAAGGCTCCAGCTTGTTCATTCCAGAATCATATTTTCTGCCCACAGGCTATCAGAGTAAAGCCCTGCCCCTTATCTCTCAATCAGGAGGTCTTTGAGCACTGAGAAGACCATTTTTACTATATTCTTGTGTAATAATATGCATCATTTTGTTAAAATTTCAAGCATGCTGTTGCTTCTTTTTTCAGTTAAGAATAAAAACCTCCTTCCAGCCACTGTCAAGATATTTTCAAAATCACTGGAGTGTATGCAAATTATTTTACCCTAACCCAATTCTCTAATTAAACATGTTTTTTGTATTAGTAATTCACATTTGTACTAGAGGTTATTAACCTATTCAATAAATGAAATACTATATGTTGATATTTTTTCAGTAACACTTTACAATAAGGTCTCATTTGTCAACATTAATGCATTAACTAATATGATCTAACTATGAGCGATATATTTTATAGAATTTATTAACTTTAGTTAAAGTTGGTAATAAAAATATGTTAGTGCAGTGTATTAACTAATGTTAACAGATACATTTTGAAAAAAAGTAATAGTAAATGTTGAGATTACATTA